ATGGTTTCGGGGTTCCAGGTAGGGGTATAGTAGGTACCTGGGGGGTTAGGGTAGGCTACACTCCAAACCGCCCAAACCAAGGCGCGTGGCCTGCGCCGCGGAGGAGGCACTGGCACGACCTCGTTGGGAAAATTGGCACCCAGAGATTCCAGTATGATATAGAAGCCTAAATAGATACTTATATTATTCTTTATGGTTCCTTGGTTATAATATTACGGTATGAAGGAGCCCAGAACCATATTATAATTACTAAAACCCCTTAGTACCTTGATAAGTATGTGGTTGGTTGTTTCTGTGCCTTGATGTTTCCCTCAGACTCCACGTATCACAAAGTGGGTACTGTTTACAGGCCTTTCGACAGCAGACGTAGGTCTTAGCTGTATGCTTGGAGTCTAAGGTTTAACCATTTGAACAAGATGGCTCTGCAACCGTGCTTAGTTGAAGGACAACCATTGCACAACTTTAAGGCAGCAAGAGTACAGGGGTTTTGGTTTCCTTTACACCCTAAAATATATAAGAGAGGATCCTTACCAACTAGAACAGGGTTTTGCTGCCCATTATACTGTAGTTATAACAAGGAACCCACAAAACAATATTGGTAACTATGTAGGCCCCTATCTTATATAAGCCTTAAACAAAGCATCGAAGTTGGAGCCGACCTACAGTTGATGATATAAATCCTGCATTACCTTAAGGATCCTGAATTATGGGAATGATGGTATGCGCTGAACCCTAAACCTTAAGCCCTACAAACCCCCTATAAACCTTAAACCCTAAACACTGAACCCTAAACCTCATAAACGCCCTATAAACCTTAGAGCCTTAGACCCTCAACACTGAACCCTAAACCCCGGTACCTAGACCCCCCAACTACCCTCTAAATAGACCCCAAATACCCACTATTAAGGGCCATAAGGGCTCCATTAAAGGGTTCTTGGGGGGTCCTGGTATATTCCTTGTTAGGGGGAATGCCGGAGTTATATCATCAACCCTAAGTCGAAGGATCCTGAGGGTTTAGGGGTTGGGGTTTAGGGTTTAGGGTTTAGGGTTTAGGGTTTAGGGTTTAGGGCTACTGGAAGGCCGCATTCTGAAGTATCCCTAAACCCAAACCCTACACCCTCCTGAAAGGACCCTCTACTGTCTTCCACATTCAGGTGCTTAGCCCTGAGCCCTACGCCCCGCCCGTGGTGCCTACTAATTACTCCCCAAGATAGTAGTCAGTCTATGTTACAAAAGCTACCTCGCGTTGCTGCTATCCCATACCCACGCACCTAAGGATTCGGTCCTTTCTGCCCTCGGGTCAGGGATCCGCTTGTTTGTCGTGCAAAAGAGGAGGTGTCGAAGACCGAGCTGCCTTCCTTCCGCTGCGAGATTGTCGAGGCAAGACAATGATTCTTTTTTTGGGGGTAGGGTTGGAGTTTCCTCATAGGGGATGTCCATAGGATTTTGGGGCTTTGGGAGTTCTAACGGTTTCCAAAAATGATAAGGGTCGTGGAGTTTATGAATTTTGGTTTAGCACAGGTCCGCTTGTGCTCCGTTTTGGGCTTGGGGGTTAACTAGGATTCCGGACTTGAGTGAGTTTGAAAAAGTTTAAGCCTTTCAATTGAGCCGATGTAAGAGAATTTAGTATGTTGCGCGGCTGCTGTCCTAAATCATCCCTAAACTTAAACCCTAAGCCCAAAAGCCTAAAAACGCTCACAACGCTCTGTGCAATTTTGCAACCCAGAGGCTTAAAGGCGCTAGACCAAAACGCCTTAAACGTGCCAAAACCCACACCCACCATAGTTATTTGGGAGATTGCCTCGCACGCCTTGGGCTTTGTAGGAAATATTATGGGGTTATATATGGTTGTATGGGACTCCATGGGTTCGTAAGAGGTCTTGTATGGGCTTTTCGAAGCCTTTATAGGGACTTTAGAGGGGATTTGATGGCGTCCCTAGAACATCATAGACCCCTGATGAATAAGGTACTGGGGAACTCCAGCATTACAGTAAGGACCTTTAGGAAGAAGGGATTGCAACTCAGGGGCCTACGTTAAGCTACTTGGAGGATCATGGGACTTAGTAAGTAAGGTTATAAGTCCCCTAATTGGGGTTATAAGTATAGTTTCCTTAAATGTAACCCTACCTACTAAGTCCCATGATCCTTTAAGTAGAGATCCGCATGGAAGCTGCGTGGCCGATCCTGGAAGGTGACCGGGTTTGCTATTCGCACCCGAAAAGGGCGTTTCTCCGGATAGAAGATAGGCAGACAGAGAGACAGATCGACAGAACGTAGACAGACAGAGAAAGATAGCTCAGACTTACATACTTATATAGATGTAAGTGTATATAATCTTTATATATATACATACACACAGAAACTAACTGCAGACTGAAACTAACTGCAGATTAATTTGGCAGTGTCCAAGTAGTACGTAGTAGTAGTCGTTGTCAGCGTTCTTCCGCGGTGACAGTTGTGGTGGTGGTGGTAGTAGCATTAGCAGTAGCAGTGGCAATAAACAGTAGTGGTAGTGGTAGCAATAGTAGTAGTAGCAGTAGCAGTAGTAGTAGTAGTAGTAGTAGTAGTAGCAGTAGTAGTTGTAGTAGTGGTAGCAGCAGTAGTAGTAGCAGTAGTCGTAGTAGTCGTNNTAGTAGTAGTAGTAGTAGCAATAGTGGTAGTAGTAGTAGTAGTAGTAGTAGTAGCAGCAGCAGCAGTAGTACTCATAGCAATTTAAAAATCCTAAACATCAGGACGAGAGCTGTGCTGCCGGCGCAGGCCGGGGTGCAATTGCCCAGACGAGGAAGTTTAGAGCCTGCAAACCCTGTTGTATGAGATGTGTCAGTCATATCTACGTCAGTGGACTCTCGAAATGTTCAAGAGAAGGTTGTGCAACGTGATTGAGCGCCTACGTTACTGTCCTTTGCTGGCTTTTGTTGTGGCACAGTTGGCGCTGGTATGCACACAGAATGCCACGGCTAAGTCATGTTGCGATTTTGCTACGGATTGGCTGATACGCTTCTTGTTGAGATTTCTTTGTAGTCCCTGCTGTCTTTTTGGTTGGACTGAATACCACCAAGTTGATTATCGTTGCATGTACGGCAGAATTGCCAGGCATCAAGGCTGAACACTGCTCAATCTTCTTAGGATTCCTGTGTGTCTGCCTGAACCGTCCCCTATACTCCGAGCGCAAGGATCGTAACTACGACTTCCCAATCATGATTCATTCACAGAGCCCCCCACTAGGGGATTGGGCTGTTTGGGGACTTCCGATAATGTGGCGCTCACGTTTCGTGAGGCACCCCGCTTGAAGCGAGCCACGGCCTCTTCGGCGAGGACACCTTCGGGTTCTTGTCAAGCTGGGCCTTCCAGGAAAATCATGCTACTTGTGTACGATCAAATTATAAAACCCATCGAGTTTAGGGTTTAGGGTTCAATGCTACTTGTGGACTATCATACAGTCAAACCCAGGGTGGAAGTTAGACATCATATTGAGGGCTGAAGTAGAAGTATTGCACCATTGTAATCCCTGTATAGTTTTACTACAAGTCACCGCCCGCCCTACGTATTGTAATCTATTCAAGTATATATGTATGTACATACATATATATATATATATGTATGTATGTATGTATGTATGTATGTATGTATGTATGTATGCATGTGTGTATGCATACATATATACATATATGTGTGTGTATGTTCATCGTAAGACGCTTCGTGTAAGTTAGCGTGATAGGGATACATGTATGTACACATACTCTGTGTGTATATATATAGAGGATACATATGTATGATATATATATATATATATGTCGGATATATATATATATATATATACACATATATACATATATACACACATATATATATATATATATATATACATATGTAACACACTGCCTGAGTTTCTTGTTATCGTTGCTTACGTCGTTTTACTATCAGAACGAGTCCAGATTTAGGAGCTCGTGCCAGCAGCCTCGTTAATCATGTATATAGTATCGGTAAAAGTCTTTATGTGTGTGTATGTGTATTGTGTATCACACACGCTCTCTCTCCTCTCTTTCTCCGTCTCTTTCTCTGTCTCTGCATAGGTCACTTCTCTATTTTCCTTATAATATGTGTAGATGTAACCCATACTAGCACATGTCCAACGAAAGGTAGTTGCGCTCGAAGGGTTGTACATGCTGTCCTCGTACCGATGATTCTGCTTTCGGAACTGGGGCAGAAGAAGGAACAAGCTCAGGTTTCGCTAAGTTCTGGACATGGACCGTATCGACTCGCAAAAGCTGTGTACTGGTTCCATCATTTCGGGCATTAAGACGCTGAGCAGCCCTCTGGTGCTGAGGCAGATGCAGAAGTCCAGTAAGCTAGGATGTTGTAGGTTACTGTTTCTTGGGTGCTATGGCGTTTGCATCGGTTTCGGGACAGTAGATCACCAAGAAGCAAACTAGCCTAGAATCTGGGGTGAGCACAACCTCAATGTCTCAACCCGCTGCCGCCTCCGACAGCACGATAGGCCAATCGTCACATCCTCATCCATGCTCCAAGTGATATTCAGTATCCTGCTAAGATAGCAGTCTTTGAACGCCGCAAGCTGCGCACCAAAAACTTAAAACCTCAAGCCCAAAACCTTGACCCCTAAACCCATGAACCTCTTCACACAAAAGTCTTACGCCCTGAAGAACCAAGCCCTCGAACAGAGCTGCTGTGCCGAGGAGTCACTTTCTGCTTTCGTCTTCGCCTCGGCTATGGAGGCTGCCGTCTCCAGTTTGCGGTGTCTTCGACTTTCTTAAGGTTTCTTTGGCAATGGGGTTTGTAGTGCTCGAATATCAATAGCTGAGTGGAGCGGGTGAGCGTAGCGTCTACAAACCTGAGTTTATCTGTGCATGGGAGCTTCAATTTTCAATCACGAATATGAGGATCGCTCCTAGGTATGAGGACCCCCCGCCCCGCCCTATGAGGTACGGGTATTAGACCCCCTGGAAAGGACCACTTTCCCACATTGCTAAGAGCTCACCCGATCCCATCGAAGTGAAGGCACTGTGTCAGGGTTTGGGGTTCAGGGCTTTAGGATTTTAGGCTGTTAGGGCTTGGGTGTTGGGTTAAGGTTTAGGGCTTGACATGAGGGTTTTAGGTTTTCCAGGGCTTTAGGGCTTCAGGGTTTAGATTGGGTGCTTCCATATTCGAGTTGGCAGTTCGGCATGAGGTTTCAAGATTGATGAAATCATAACAAGTGTACATCCAGAGTCATTCGGACTATGGTTGCTGTTATCTTTTGCTGTCAGTATTTTGGCTACGGTTTTTGCTCATTCATTTCTATGCCCAGCGATTATGAAAGTAGTTCGCCGCGACAAGAAGCACGGAGGTGCCATGAGCAGGCATGTGGCCTGTCTGAAGTTGACGTTGCCACATTAGTGTACACAGAATTCGATTTGAATTGTGTCCTTGTATTCAACCCTGCAAAACCGAATAAGACCCCATCAGCGCCTCATTATCGAAGCCTTCCAGGAAATGGAACACCTTACAAGGCCCCCGTATGAGACCCCACAGTCTAGAACCCTTCTTATAGAGCCCTTGTTGTAGAACCCCTTTCACAGACCCCTGCTCGAAGCGGCACGGCTCCTATATATCTTGGGGGCTCCTTAGTATCCGTCTAGCATAATATACCCCGAAACCCTGTTCTAATAATTAAGCCTTCTATATTACCCTAAGCGCCGATAATCAGGTACTTTGGTTGCGGATAGTAGTAATCTAGCTGAATATTTGGGAAAGTATATGATTATTGGGTCCTTTGGACCCTTAGGGTATTCGAACCCTACACCCTAAACCCTAAACCGTTTTCATGGCTTCTTTGTCAGATGTTCAGAAGAGGCTCCCCTGGCCTTGGCTCGCCAGCGCTGGCGCCAGGCCGGCTCCATGAAGGCCACCACTGAAAAGGAAGGGAGCCGCGGTTCAAGGCTTACTTTTTTGGCAGGTTTAGGGGTTAGGGCTTAGGGCTGAGGGAGTTGAAGGGGTGTGAACGGCTCGTTCTGTGGTGGTGTTTCGTTTTTTTTTGTTGTGGGCTTGTGTTTGCAGCGGTGGTTTAGGTTTGTTTTTTGTTGTTTTAGGGTTGAGGGGGCAAGAAAGAACTGCAGCTAGTGTTGCTACTGTATCAGATTCTCCTCCATCAGCCTCTTCTCCTCTTCCGACATACGAATCGATGTCTCACTTCAAGGATGTGTTTTGATGCTTTGAAGCAACTCCACACAGTGTACCCAGGCTTGCAGGACCTTGCAAGGTTCCGAACCCTATCAAGTAGCTCATGAAATTACGAGGCTATAGCCTTGCACATATTAGATATGAGGTTGTATCAGGTTATTGGATCGACAAGTATGACTTGCATGTTCTCTTAGACACCCGACGTCAGGCACCAAGTGCCGGAGCAGTCGGATGGGAGGCACAAGCCGGCACAGATGCCGGACTCCCAGCAAAAAAAAGTGACAGAAAGTCTTGCTGATCCCAGTTCTTCAACCCCAGTAGTCTCAATCCCTCACTCTATCTCACAAGTGTGACCTAAACCCTAAACCCTAAACCCTAAACCCAAAACCCATTAATTAGTTGCCTTTGACGGCCCTAGACCCGAAAGCGCGCGAGGCGACGATTTCGATATCGACTCTGGATCCCTTGTTGTGTCAGAGTTCAGCACCGTCGAGAATCAGACATAGGTTTAGGGTTTAGGGTTTAGGGGTTTAGGGTTTAGGGTTTAGGGTTTAGGGTTTAGGGTTTAGGGTTTAGGGGAAGGTTTCATGTGAGAGGTTGGCCCAGGAGGGGCGCTGGCATGCATCAGTACATAATGTAATATACACATATACATATACATCTACAGGTACATATACATATATACACATCTGTTTGGTGTGCCTGGCATGCACTTAGAAGTTGCGAAATCGAAATCGGTACCTGCGGAGCCCAACAACCTCTGTCCTTGGCGGTATCCCATACAAGAACCCACAAAAATATAGTTCTGGTTTCTGTAGGTAGGGCCATGGGCATGTTGCGTGTTGTCGCTAGTGTTCACACTTCAAAGGAAGAACTGCCGGAATCGTTAGCCCTGAGAAAATGATACTGTAAACGAGCACCTCAGTGTGGAATGTTCACTCGCTGAAGCAAGGCTTCATCAACCTTTGCAGAGCAGCCCGCTTTAAACAGCATGGAGTTTTTGTTTCCATGCATTTTTAAGCTGATCCCCTGCCGCTCGTGTGCATGTCCACATTCACGATTCCAACCCTAAACGCGGAAACCCAAAACAGGTAGCAACAGCAGGTCACAGCCATCACACGAAGATGCCATTATATAGGTGTGTGTAGGGCCCTCATGTTGCAAGACCCTAAACCACATTGCCAGTCTAAGCCTAACCTTTGACACCCCGCTTCGATTCAAGTTGCCTCCAAACACTCAGTTTCTGAGTAGGTAACCTTTGACCTTTTGGGGTTTATATGATCCTACCATAATTGAATAAAAGGTTAACCTTGTTTTTGGGTGAGGCCCTTTTAAGAAGAAGATGTAAACATTCGAAGGCCGAAGCTGCAGGCCTGGAAGTCTACCAGAAACCCTCCTCACCCACAGATCCAGAATCGGGTTTAGGGTTTAGGG